TACTGATGATTTTTATGGACTATGAATATAAGGAGGCAAAGTAAAGTTCCCAAACTAAAAAAAATAACTCATAATTAAGGATATTCTTTATAATTAATTAAATCATTATATTAAAAATATAGTAATTTACACTTTTGACCAACACAAATGGTGGTTTACGAAATGGTGTTGCAAGTTAGTATTTTACAAATTCTCGTGGGAGAGGAGATTCTTATGATCCCTATAACCATCCATAGTCCATACCAACCTGGTTGGCCAAACTAACTAATTAATTCTAATTACGGAATTACCCACATCATAAGTTTGCCTTCATGCTTACTACATATTGTTATAATTGCTCAAACATATTGAAATTAAAGCATATAGTTTCGTCATAAATTATATTTGTATAACTTTTTCTATAACAAAGTAAGAAACAAGAAAAGAAAATGTGAGAAAAAATATTAATATAATAAGAATAACTAAATTAATTAATATCAACTTGCACAGAATTATTCTGCTTTAATTAATGATCTCGTGCATAAGTTTTAAATATATAATTGTATTAAATATATATATATATATATATATATATATATATATAAAGAATTTCATCATTCATGATAATTTTATTTAACTAAAAAAAAAATACATATCCTGAAAGATATATGTTGTCTGATGATTTATAGTGAACCAATATTATTACTTACTACAAGGTGTTACATTTTATTTTACAACATTGAATACTTTTTAAACAAAAACATAATGGTGCTCAAGAGTTACGTCATTAGGCGTTGACCAAAGAAGATGAAAATAGCATGAAGTTGTTAAACTCAAAGATTTATTGCGAATCAATGTACATATTATCCACAACCAAAGTCGTGAGAGGTGTTCTGGGGAAAATTGTCCTAGGCCCATGGAGAGGTCCACAAGGAAGGCCCATAAAGAATTCAACAGGAGAGGGGGTCAACGGGTCGTTGGAGACACATGGACCTATATTACACCTACTAAACTTTCCAAATCCAAGCCCGTAGCCCAAAAGGAGCGACAGTGTGAATCTGCAAACTGGATGAAAAAATGAAAACCGAAACTAAGGTTAAAAATATTTTCTTTACCAATATTGGTTCTCATAATTGTCCGAAATTTCAACTTAACTTTGAATATAAAATAAATTATAAAATATTTATTTTATATATATTTATAATCTCCAACATAAATTAAACATTATTTTTTATGATAATTATTTTATGATTAATCTAAAAAATATTTTCTTATTTAACTTATCCAAACTTTCCACCTTGACTGACGTAGTGGATTTAGAATAAAACATGTTAATTTGATGTTTTTTTTACCAGTTGGCCTACAAGAAATTTATAAAAAAAAACATTATAGAAAGAGACACACATGTGTGTGTATTTTATTTTTTTAACTTTTACTTGTCAATTTATTTTATAATTTCGTATAAAATTTGATGAATGTAGTAACAACAATTATGACAATAGTTTACTAATACTAGTAACATCAATGATTTTAATGTGGAGAGAGATAAAATTCATTTTAATAATCTCTCTCTTAAAATAAAACTCATTATAGAAAGAAAAAGTAATAATTTTAATAATAGGTGATGTTAATAACAATGTTCATAGTAACAAAATTTATGAGTCTAAGTCCTCACAATTTTACTTTTGATTATCACTTAAAAGATTTCAAAATTATTAAAGTATATACTGTTATAAACTATTATTTCTTCACTTTTTTTTTTATTGATGTGGGATATTATTTGTATAACAACAATCCTTCTCTCAAACAAGAGATCTAACCTCTCATTCAGCAAAAAATTGTCTCTATATATCTTTTTATCTTATATTTTATCACATTTTATCACTTACCACTTTTTTTTATTATAAATTATTAGTTGTCATTAAATCCAACCAGATTCTCATTTAGTAGAATTTGTCTTTGTACATCATTTTATCACATATTTTCTATCACTTATTACTTTTTGTTATAACTTATTGGGTGTCACCAAATTCAACAAGGCTCTCATTCAATGAAATTTGTCTTTGTATATCATTTTATCATTATCGTAATTTGGATCACGACGGGAATGACATAAAAATATTTTTAATGAAATTATCACTAATATTTTATTGTGAGGAAAAAAACATTGAAAAAAAAACCTTTTAGAAAATGTGGTCATTAAAACTAGAGTTGGACTCGAAAGTCAATTATGTGTAGGAAAGTATTGACACTTACAACACCCGTTAAAAATAATAACTTTAATTAATTGTGCAAAATTATATAATTTTCTAAATATTTATTTTACCCTTAAGAAATATTTTTTGATCCTTTAATTAAAAAAGACTATATGTGAAATAAGATTCTTTTGTATTTTTTTTTTGAAAAAAACTTGGATAATAATTTAAGCTAACAAATGATTATCTTCCATGGAAGCAACTCATTTGAGTTGCTTCATGTGTTGAAAAATGAAAAAAGTGGTCCCTAGTGTGTCATGTCCGCATTAAGCAACTAAAACACAAATTTACTCCAATGGTAAGAAATTTTAAGAAATCCAACTTTTAGAATTTTTTCTAATTATTTATGAACCAAATTTAAATTTTTATTAAAAAGAATAATTACACTACAATGAAAGAAAATAAATTACGAAAAAAAATATAATAAGTAGATATTAAAAATAAAATAAAATAATAGTAAATACATAAACATTATACGAAATTAAATTTTATCATTATTATTTCCGAAATGTTCCCAGATATGTTCAATAAGATCTGGTAAGAAACGCTTGCTTCAGGAAGTAACTCTCTCTTTTCTTCAAGCAACTCATGTTGCCACGTTAGAGTCCTCCAATGACAAGAAACCGGAGTTTGAGTTGCTTCATGGGACAAGCAACTCCCATTGGAGTTACTCTTAGTCCTTAAACCCTTACAATCAAATAATGTCAAACATAAAAATATGATTCAATTAACATTATTAATTGATGCATATTTATAAAAAAAAATATATTTTATAAAAAGATAATAATTTTTATATATTCTTTTAATTATCCTTAAACAAGAATTTAAGGTAACAAATGATTAGTCACTAAATCTTTGCAATTAGATATGTCAAGATTAAAAATGTTATTCAATTAACATTATTAATGGTTGCACATAAGAATAATTTTTAAAAATAATTTTTTTTATTCATCACCAAAATTCATGATAGTAAATGACTATTCTATAAACTTATATGATTTAAGTGATATTATTGCTACTCAATTAATATCACACATTACATAAATTAAAATATTTTTTTACTATACACATCCTTAATTTTATTATGCTTGAGTGTTAAAGAAAAATAAAATGAACATGACCCTCCTATTAACATAAAAAAAAAATAAAAAAATGAATAGAACCCAACTATTAACAATATTATTTTACTAATTTTTAAACTGGCGACACAAAATAAAGAAATGTACGTACTCCTAGAACTTAGAAAACCATGTCTTACTATTTTTTACATAAAGAACAATTAAATGCTAAACAATTACCAAATACCAATATTCATATAAAATGGAATATTAACATGTAATATGAGTTCACTGCGCAATAGAAGTAAAGAAAATGCAATGAAAAAAAGGTGAGATAAAGGAAAGAGGAATCTCAAGTCAAACAAGCCAAAGAAAAAGTAAACTTGAAATCATACATCCTCTAAGAAGCAAAACAAAACTCAGATTGCTTGGAAAAATGACTGATGGTATGTGTCTGGTTATACAAGCAATCAAGCCCACGCAGCGTGAATAGCAAAAAAATCTCTGGTGATGGAACTGTGAATCTCTTTTTATAATTTATAAGAGAATTTGCTTGTAACCAAATCTCTCCCTTTCACTTTTTTAGCTAACGACCTTTATCCACTAACCTCATTTTTTTTATACTTTTTTTATAGATGCTATGTGACTGAAGCTTAATTGTTCTATTCTTTGAAGAAGTCTTCACATTATCTCCATTTTATATATTAAAACTTTATCTCTTTTCAAAAATAATAATTTTTTTTTATGAAAACACTAATATCTTAATTTTACTTTAGTTATGAAACAAAAGACTTTAAACAAAGGATCTAATTTCTCATTTAAGAAAATTTGTCTTTGTATATCATTTAATTACTTAATCATTTTTTGTTATAACCGATTTTCTTTTTGGTGATTATCCTAAATGTCTTTCAACCATTGAAATATTACATGTTTTATAAATTATTTTTTTTTCTTCTTATTTTATTGATGTAGAATATTATTTATATCCCAAGACTTATCTAGTATATATTTGTTGTCACATTTACGAGTGAACTTGAACCTAAAAGATGATAAATTGGGCGGGAGAATCTGAATTTAAATTTAAATTCGAGTCTATTATAATAATGATCATTTTGAAGAAAAAAAAAACTATAATCAAACCCTCATTAAGTTTTATATTTAAGCCCTTTATTTACTTATCGAGAAACCTAACAAGATTGCATTATTTTTGCTCTTTTCTTTCATATAGTTTACTGTAGTTTGTAGAGTTTAGAAATGGAACAATATTGTTATGTTTCACGACATATCAAGCTTTCACTTAACCTGCAACATTATAATATTGACCCTTTTCCCTTTTTCTTTGCAACATATTTGCAAGCATATATCGACTCGACCAACCAGACATAGGCATCTACCACTTCCCCATTTGTCAGTTTAATTATCATGTCGCCATCGAGCATACATGTTTGTTGGTCGTTTGACTAGTACTATTGATGATGGAAACTCCAACTGTGCAAAAGCTCTTGTTTTTTACTTCTCCTTGATTGATTAGAAAGGCTGTTTCTTCCCTTTTTGGTGAAAATCATTGATGATTATATTGCATGTACTGTGGTTAACTGTTACACCTATTTGACCATGGTTTCATAAATAAGCTAACACAGTAAGTATCCGCATACCAAATGCCCCACAAGTCCAGTTCCTTATCTAAGCAAGATACAAAACTCAAGAATGGTGGAGGTTTCGAATCTCATACTTTTTGTTGAAAAGCAAGAAATATAAAAAGAATCCGCAATCCTCAGTAAAGAAACAAATTATATTCCCACAGTTAAACCTCCATTGAAGTTATTCCCATATAACACAACCGATTGAATATATTCAATAATCAACATAAACTAATTTGCAAGGAAGATATTTAAGCATATATTCATCCTCGTCAACGTCATTTGCCTTGCATTCAAAGCTATTCGATGCTCTACCGTAAAAAAAATTATCCTCATGTTGAAACTTCCATTAACTCAATGGAACAACTTAACCTGCCACGAGTTGCTGAACTTGGTAAATTTGGCTCACCTTAGGAAGTTGGAAAATTGAAGGCCAACCATACCTTCACAGCATTCAACTACCTTGAACTCGTGCCCAGGAGTTTACATTGAACGGTTAGAAACTTATATTTCTTCAATGAAACTACAAGAAAATAACACGGAGATTATATTATTTTCTGGGAAATATAAGTTTGGGAGCAATTATGAGATATTTTCTGAAGAAAACATGCATTTTCTAAGGAATAAATTTATCTAACATGCCCTGACAAATATATGTTGAATTATTTAGGAACATGCCAATCAAAAGCCCAATATGGCAATGAGAACAAAGACCAACGAAACTCAAACAACTAAGGCACAGTTTACCTGTATAAGAGAATAATGCAGCATAGTGACAAATATGAGATCCGTGTAGCCAAAGGAATGATAGTATTGGACGGAAAATTCATAAACTTCACTCCAAGACATAAATTAACAGAATTTCATTCTTTAAATTAGAATTTTGAAGCAGATTGACATCAAAGAGCAGAAATCAAGCATCTAAAATCATAACTGAGAGGCCCACAAAAGACAGATGGTTTGCCTTAAGAGTCACTGACAAGTTAACCATATTTAAACAGCAACCTGGCATCTGAAAATAGAAATGGCCATACAAATGTAATGACCTCATGCCACCAAGTATTACTTACAACAAAATTTGGTGCTCAGTGAAACAAACGAATTTTATTTTATATTTCACTCTGACAAGTCAATTTCTATCAGAAATATTTTGAGACTTGAAAAATTACTCCCCCTATCCCATTTATTTAGTGGTTTTAGCCTTTTTTTTTCTTTCCAAAACAATTGTTTTAGAATTTCAATAACAAATTAGATCTTTTTTCTCAATTATACCCCTATTTAATAAACATTTTCTCTGCTAACTACTCAATTTTTTTTACCAAAAAGGGGGCTACACTACCAATGAACACACGTGTATTAATTCTACTAATGGGATATTAAATAAGCGCTTTATAGTCCAAATTTGTATCTATTAAATATTAATTAGTCCACGTGCATTAACCTCAAACCAAGATGGAAGGAGTACAAATGAAGCTCAACATGTCTTGCCACTACATGCATGAGGAAAGTGGAGCAATGTCATTAATAAAATAACAGACTGATTTTCTCCAAGGTATCTCATAGCCACTTTTATCGGTTCCTTTGAAAATGTCATCCATTTACAAACGAGGGCAAAATTATGACCAACCTAAGTGTAAAACATACAACATATATGAGTTAAGAAAAGGAAAAATGGTTCGAAGTACACAGTCAAACTATAAAATATGGAACGAAGTACCCAGCCAAACTATAAAATCAATCTCTTTGGTTATTTCGAACAAAATAGGAGGTGAAAATAAACAGTGTTATCTTCTAGCCAGAGCATGAAGACAATAAATCTAACTAACACGTTTCACACAATTGAATTTGCACGTCAACTACCAGGGTTTGCAGAAGATTTAAATACTGATAATCATAGAGAAATCTAATAGGTATGAATATGAGAAGGTTAAATGGTGAAATACCCAGTAATTTGCTGCCACTTCTTCCACCGTGGAACAATCTGTCATCAAGGGTTCTCAGCTGATGTAGTTGTAATTCGTAATTGTCTTGTCCGTTCTTGCTCTCCATTCCTCTTCCAAAAAGCCCTTCTCCACCAAACTTCAAACCCTCTTTGAATATTTGGGCAATCTTCACCAGAATTCAAGAAACGGTTAAACCAAGCAAGCAAAATTTCCTGTTGCCAGGAGAGTGGCAGAGTGAGAATCGTGTTACTAAGACCATCCTCAATTAGATGCCTATCAAGCCCCTTGGATGCCCTTCTCATCCAACCAAAGTCATCATAAAAGGGCACCAGCCATGTTTTTAGAAGCAAACACCTGACATCTTTAGAAGCCAACAATTGTCCTTTCCCGATTCCCACAAACAACCTTGCTGTAACCCTGCTAACCTCAAACCTGTGAACTGCTGGCACTTTAGAATGAGCTTCAGCTAAATCTGATTGAGACGCCCATGTCTTCAGGAAATCCTCAGCAATCTGTCTGTCAACTAAAATATCCAAAATCCAATGCAAATTATCCGCTTGTCGGGCAATTTGACTCACATCCTGCAGGTCTGAAGCAGCAGCCTGCAAAAAGTGGCGACGAAGTAATTGCAGGCAGTCATCACACGCTAAGTACAATGACTCCTTCCGAAGATCATTCTGAGAAGAATTCTCACGCAGCATCTTTGACACTAACCCTTTCATCTCCCGCCTGGCCTTCTCATCCTTCCCTTCAAGAACCACACGAATAAGCTTAAGAAGAACCTCCTCATTATCACTCCCCTCTTCATTTCCATTAGCAACATCCGTCGAAACCCTCTTCAAAACCTCCCCAGCTCCAACTGCTTCAAGACGAAGCTCAGACAGCAGTGACGCCACCTTCTCCTCCTCATCCTCCGCCCACGGTGCCGCTTCCAAGTACTCCAAACAAGACAAAACCCCAGCATCAAACCCAATCGCAGCCGAAACCTGAGAAACCACAAAAAAAACAACTCGTTCTGCCTCACAAAACCCCAAACAAAACAAACAACAAGGGAGAAAAAGGCATGTAGTAGTGGTGCAATAAAAAACCAATAACCTAAACAACAGAATTTCCATCATAAACAGTTAACACCCTAAATTCAAAGTTTTCCTATAGTCTGAACCTAACCCTAACCCCACAGTTTCATTATATTATTATCCACTATCCATCCAATAAAACAGAACAAAACACTAAACTGTTGCATCCCACCAAAATGCCCCATATAGATTAGGAATTGAAGGCAAGAGTAGTTCTTAAATACTCTCATCCCTTGTTCCTCATAGTCATATGCAGTAAACCTAAGAAATAAACGATATAACGGAATTAAGGTTGTAATAATAAAAAGCAAACAAACAAACAAAGGCGTTACCTTCAAGATACCGAGAACTCTGGAGACATCTTCCCTCATGAGCTTCTTCCTAAGATCCTTACAATACATCAACCTCAAAGTCTCGATGTAGACCTCGACGTCATCGCAATCGGCGATTTCAACTTCGTAGGGCACCGGCGAGCGCTGTTGCTGGTGCTTGGTCCAGCGATCGGAGAGCTTGACGGAGAAGAATCTACTATGGGCGACGAGGATTTGGCGATGGACATTCATGGAGACGGTAATTCCATCTTTGGAGCTAAGAGTGAGCTTGATGTCGCTGGAAACGGCGTCGTTGAACTGGTTACCGGGGCTGCGAGAGCCGAGGAGGTCCGAAATGCGCTGCATCATGAGAGCGTGGCGATCGAGGACCTGAATTTGGGGCTTCTGGAGGGAGGAGGCGGCGGTGTTGTTGGGAGGGATCTGGTTGGGGCGGTGGTGGATGTCGGGCTCGCTGGCCATCATTTCGAAGAGGGTTGGGCTCGATCGGGTCTTGTCGGGCGGGGGGGACATTGGGTTGAGGAGGCCCGCGGTGAGGGCGGAGTTGAACTTGGAGAAGCTGGAGGGGAAGGGGTCCTGGGCCTGGGCCTGGGCCTGGGCCTGCTGGGGCTGGGCCGAGTGGTGGCCGTTGGCCGTTGGGGAGGAATGGGCGAAGTCCATTGTTGGGATCCTGTGGGTGTATGCGGAGGGAGATTGGGGCAATGCAGGTTCGGGTTGAGGTTCGGTGTTGTTTGGAGAGGCGGAAGCTGAGATGGTGGTTTGGCGATACTTGCGTCGTTTGGGCTTGGTGGGCTGGTTTTGAAGTTTGAGGAAAGTTGTAGTTGTCGCTGCCATCCAATGTTGTTCTTCTTCTTCTTGTCTTTTAGCGCATTGCAGGAACGACGCAGGAGAGGAATTAATAAATGGCGGTAGAAACGAGACGTGTGTGTGAGCTGTGAGGTGGGAGTGGGACTCGGATAAAAAACCCAACACTCGCATTAATTGCTCAAAAATAAATGCCTTATTCTCATGCCTCATGCCTCATGCCTCATGCCTCATGCCATTGCTACTCTAAACTCTAAAGTCACATGCACAACACACATTCAAAAAATCCTCAATACTAGATGAGATTGAGATCAAAAGATTCAAAACTACCTACAAGTGCCTCACATGTTATCATCATCCATCACATCTCACTCTGCTATCCACCACCCATGTATATATTATTATATCTCCTCAAATATTTTTTTCATTGTTTTTTAATATTTTCTCAATCTTATATATTTATGTTTCTTTGTGACATAATTGATAAATAACTTTATATTTTAAATATATAATCAAAATTTTATCTTTAATTAATATATATCAAAAATATATGCAGGGAAATTTAAAAATTAATATGACTAAAATTACCAATTATTTTATAATGTTATAATATCAAGTATAATTATTTTATCTAGCTATTTAAATAACTTTATAAATTTTACCTCGGGTTTTTCTTTCTCTGTTTTAAAGTTTCTATGCACAAATTAATAAATATAATAATTTTCATGACTCTACAATAAATATATATTAATTTTTTATTTTTACTTTAATAATGAAATTATATATTAAAAAATTCAACAATTTAAAAAATGTTGAAAAGACAATTATATGCTCTAATTACATTCTAACTCTTTAGATAAGGATAATTTTGTTTACAAAAATATTTTGTTATGATAATTTATGTGATTAATAATTTTTTAAATGAATACATGTATTACCTTTAGAAATTAATAATATGAGATAAAAGAAAATAATTTGTAGAAGATTAAACTAGAAAGTAATTTCAAAAATAGAAAAAAATTTAATACTTTTGTATTTCTAACAAGTAACTAAGAAAAAAAAAACACTGTAAAAGAATTTTAGGTTATTCACCAAAAATGCTGGTTTATTATTACTCCATTATTATTCAAAATGCTTGCTTAATGACGGCATCATGACATCACTTTAAATATTGAATTCAATAATAAAGTATATGAGGCATTTTATGCTTTATCAGAGTTCGGTCGTACATCTTAAATTCTTATCAGAGTTAGTTTTATTATTAGTGTATTTATTTCATTTAATAATCATGATATAAAATATTTATCTATGCTTAATTATTAATCTTAAATCGTTGGTTTTTTTTTCATTTTTGTCTATTAAAATTGTTGTTTGATTAATTATTTTTAAATTAAGTAAATTTTGCATTGTTTTGTTGTATAATATATAAGTATAATATCTGGAATCAATCATAAATTTCCAAATATTTAAATAAAATATAATTCAAGACTTTTATGTGTGTGTAAGTAAATTTTGCATTGTTTTGTTATATAATATAATAGTATAATACCTTGAATCAATCATAAATTTCCAAAGATTTAAATAAAATATAATTCAAGACTTTTATGTGTGTATTAAGTTTGTATATTTGACAATAATTATCATAAAATTTATATATAAAAAATTAATTGTTAAGAGTGCAAATTTTACACTGAAAATGTATATTAAGAGTTATAAATATGAAGGGAAAAAAAACAGAATGTAAGAATAGATTTTGAAGGAGATTTTTTGTTTTTAAATATCGAGAGAAATATAATACTTTTTTTGGTGAGCTTTGAACATGATTTTTTTTAATATTTTTAGTAAAATAAAACGAGAGTTTAAGAATTTGAAGTAAAAATATAGTAAAATCAATTTTGTATAATCCTAAAATTGAATAAAACTTAATTAATTTGAAAATAAAAATAGAAAATCATACGCAATTTTAAATTAAAGAATTAAAAGTACAATTAAACAAAAAATTGAAAATGCTTTTAGCATTCAGTTGAACTGGCCCAAATTATACAAATTTGTATGTAGTGATGCTCCGTATGCTTGAACTAATCATGGTGTGGATAGATGTCACAAGCTAATAACTTGGTTTTTTTATGGTCAGCTTTTCTTTTCGTAAAAGGAAAAAGAAACATAAGTTATTGTTTTTCATCATCGCAAATTATCATTTTAATATCACAAATAATTAATATGATTTTGTTTTGAAGGCACGTTTGAATGATAGTTGTGGCCTTGTGGCTGTGCAACGAGAGGATCATCTCCCGCCGCATCGCAATATCATTCATGTCTGCTTCAACCTATAATATACTTCTTATTAAAAATCTAATAATTATACTTCTTATTTTATATTTTATCATTATATATGATATTTTGTAAATTAAATTACGATTACTTATAATCTACAAGAATAATAATAGTTTTAACATTATTATGATAAATATAAATAAAAAATCAATATACTGTTTTTTTTAGTAAAATTTAAAAATTAAAATACATTACAAAGATATAAGATGGAATGGACAAGGTTACATACATGTTTGTATTCACGTCCAAAACGTGAAAAACCACGTTTAACGTTGAAGCTACACATCACGTTTTGAACGTGAATGCAAACACGCTCTACATTCGACCTAACTTATCCCTAAATGTTAACCAGATTAATTTTTTAATCCTAATATATCCATAAATTCAATTAAATTCAACAATCTATTATTGTCTTTGATATTAAATGGGATGACTCATTAACTTTTCGATCCAATTATTTTATCTAATTGAGTTGGTTACGTTTTCATAATATTGTTTATATAATGTGAGCAATGAACTTGAGAAATCAGATTTGGAATTTGGAATTTTAGTTTCCTTCATATGGAGCATTTGAGTGAACTTATTTGAATATGTGAAAATGGCTTAGGTAAAAATCTTTTAATCAATCTCAAAAAACCATAATCAAATTCATAAACAAAGTTTAATTTAATAAGAATTGATTACTTAAGTATTTAATTAAGCAGATTGTGTTTACTACGGTCTATGGCTTTAAGCTCACGTCACTGCTTACAGTGTCATTGTCCGGCTCTCACTTTAGCGGCCACTGCTGCTGTTCTGCGAGCGTTTTACTTTTCTTCTCAGCTTTGTTGCCATCTGTTAAATGTCAAAAGGTAACAAATTAAATTATTCAAACACCACTTTTAAATTTAAAAGTAGCTGCGCGTTGTGTTGTGTTGAAGCACTTGTATTGTATCTTATATCCAAACAAATTCTTAAATTTTGCTTGGCTAATTTTTTTAAGTTAGATAAACAAGTTTCTAAAGAAATTAAATACATAGATTATTTTAATTTATAAAAAAATAATTTATTTTATTTCTTATTTTCTTCTTCTATAAACATCTAAGAAAGAAAAAGATATATTCCAACAAATCTTAATCATAGTATAGTATGATGGGGTTCACATTCTTCTTCTAGGGGAGTAAGCAAATCGCAAAAATTACAATCCAACATTTCTAGAAGCAAGTTGTCCTCGTCTGTGAATTTGGGTCCCTCGCTGGATACTATTACTAGGACAGGACCTCCTTTTCTCAATTTTATTGTGCCTCGTTACTATCCTTCAAATTTCAAAAATAGTCAATAATGGGCTCTGGCCCACATAGGTTATATTGCTGGCCCAATAATTTAATTATCTGCGTCTTTTCCCTCCATAGTCCATAGAGAAAGACACCCAAAAGGCCAAAACTATTCACCGTGCAGGGTTTTTCCTTCCCTCTCCCCTCTCTTCTAGTTTTGCTTTTACATTTTAACACTACACCTAGAGGAACACTCTTTGTTACTTAATATATCATCTTGTCTCTACAAATTTGATTTTTTTTTTTAATTCTAGTCCTTAAAAAATAAAAAATAAAAAGTTGTATTAGACCTTATAAAGGGACAACTGAGGGATTAAAAATACTCTTTTTTTTTCTTTCAAATATAGAGATTAAAATGAAAAAGTGTTATACTTGTAAAAGAAAAAGTTGGTCTGTGTGAAATTGGACATAATTCTCTTAAGAACAGTCTTAGATTTAAAGTTTGTAAATAGAAGAAATATTATTGAGATGAGAAATTTTAGTAAAAAGTATTCCAAAATTTTTAACATAAATGAGTCATCCGAAAGAAGCATTTATCTTTTATATTTTAGCGGAATGAGGAGAGAAAGAGAAGGAGCCAGACATGTTGTGAATAAAAATTCCCCACTTTCTTGCACCTAATCTAATGAGAATGAGGCATGAAATGTTGCATAAAAATTGAGAGGAAAAAAAGGCATGCACTCAAGCACTGCCTCATCTGGTGGAAGAGGATCATTTTGTTTCACATGTTTTTAAAGAGAAAGAAAAAACAGCATTACCACATGCTCCGCCCCTTGTTGAAAAGGAGCAATTGCTGAAGCACACATCATAGTTATGTATGCTTGCCACCACTATTGTCATGTACTCATCTTCTGCTCTAAATTCCTTATTATCCACATTTTTTTTACTTGCGCTATTACCCACATACACCCCACCCATCTCATGTCGCAATTTATCTTATCTCAAAACTGTTCATATAATAATGATCGATAAGTTTCCTATTTTCTCATCTCTCACGTTACTTAAATGGATTAATTAGATCTATATATCTCCTTTTATAATAAATAGGTTTGTGCAAAGTGTGATTATAATAATAATAACTACTCTTGGTTTAAAAATAATGTTAAAATTCATATATTATATAAAGAAATAGTTTTTTTTTTAATTAAAGAAATAGAGTTGATCTTGTACCTAATGGGATGACAATGTTTTATTTCCGTACTACAAGCTGATTCAAGCAACATTACATTTATTTACCTCTTCCTCTTATATTGAAGAAACCTTTCAATATCTTTTTTTTATGTAGCACTACTTTCAAGATTTTTCTATTCGGTATTTTTCGTTCACAATTACTGTTAAGTATCAAAAACATAAAAGAAAAAGCCCACTCTAAAAGATGAAAACATTTATAACAAACACTTGCATAATCATTTGGTTTTGGGCTGCACTTGAATTTGCTATACTCCTCTTAATATAATCAGGCCCATACACTGGTGTGAACCACGAACGAAAGCAACCCAAACGAGACCGGGTAGAAATTAGGATGTAAACGAGTATAGATAATCCATGAATAAATCGATTTAGCGAGTTTGGATTTAATTTTTTTTTAAGTATTTGGATTAGATCTGATTAAACCCAATTAAAATCCAAT